GAAAATTTCAACGAGCGGCGACGAATCGAGTAAAATCGAAGGCAAGAAGGCAAGTCGGTGAAAACTTTTGTCAAAAATGATTTCGAACGCATCGAACCGATCGGAATTCGACATCGTTCGTCGGCCGAACCCAAGTTTTCCCTTATCACGGAATCGTCCCGCGACCAACGTTCCAGTCTCCGAATTTGACTTTTCCATTCAGTCATGCACCGCGAGTGCAACGTCACATCGAAGATACATCTCGTTTAACATCATTACACTTTAATATTTATGAATTTTCAATCATCACGTCGAAGAATTTTAATTACGAAATTTCACACACGCGGAAACCTGGCGCGAATCACGAAACCGTTTCATCATCTCCGGCTGTTAACAATTTTACGTACTTTTCAATTCGTTGACAATTTCATCGACTGTAATATTCTCTTTCGATTCGTCGATAGTTATTTACCGCGCTCTCAACGAACCTGCCTGACGATTGAAAAATAATTGTTTCGCAGCAATTTCGAATTAACAATATATCGCGAAATATTCGTTTATCTTACGGTATAATTAAAATTTGACATATCGCGTTACAATTCGTTAAAACTCGACCGTTCGCGTTCGTTTAAAAGTAAGATTGGACATTCGCTTCTTGAAACGATCCAGAGGAAAGAACATTTTCCCTTCGATGTCCTTTTCACATTTGACCGTTTGGTTCAATCTATCTACGAAAGTCGAGGCACGCCGATCAACGAAGACGTTGCATTTATCAAGAAAGTCGATAATTGATCGCGTCAATTGTCAAAGATATTCCACTCGACATTCGCAGACGCGTACCAAGCGCGACGAGATAATTTTTAAAAGACAAACGTTCGAAGCTGTCTCGGTAACTCGCGCAATAGGAAAAGCACGCAACCGCAAAGTTGATCGCATCAACGGCAAAGTTTCTATCACGCGAAAAGCGTTTCTCTCGTCGTTCTTACCTCGTGTCAGTAGCGCCGCGAGCACGACGTAAGGGAAAAAAGCGGTGAAGTAGACGACTTTCCCAACGGACTGGACACCACGCACGAGGCAGAGGAAGCAGATCGTCCAAGCGAGAGCGAGACATCCTAACAATTCCCACCTTACGCCTCCGAAATGTTCCCACGTGGCACCTCGTAGACCCAACACACGGTCGCTAGATTCGATCACGATCACACATTTTAGCTTTCCGCGTGATTTCGCTGTTTACGAACGCGCGGTAAAACCGCGTCTGCCTCGTTCGATCGAAATAATTTTTAACAGAAGTTTTGCGATCGATTCGCAAGTACGTAACACCTGTAACATCTTTCGCGAAACGAGAGAGAATTTTCTCCAAACGATTTGGTCTAAAATTCCGCTACATCCCGTCCATTTTAGACGAGAAACGACATTTTCACGGGTAGAATTCAATCACGTCGTTCGATATACGTTCGTTGCCGTTTAAGTTATACTCGCGATTAAAATTGTACGAAACTATAGTCCGAAATACAAAACGGTAAATCTTCAGCTCGTCAGAGAAACGTCTAAAATTTCGAAATCGACGATTTCCGATCGTCTTTCCGAACGTCGCGGCACGGCTTTCCAACGGACACGAAAATTTTCTAAAACCAGCGCGCTAAGAGGAACAATACCGACGGGCGATATTTTAACAGAGAGCTAAGGAAGCTTTACGCAGACGGCACAATATTTCTGCCGACAAAAAGGCAAGGAGTCACGGAAAGAAAAGACGATCACGTTTCTTTTTCACAGCACTCTTCGGTGCAGTCAAAACACCGACCCAACTCTCGATATAGAAGCCGACCCACGTTCCCCGTCCGACCTAATACACATTACGACGACGATCGATCTTTAAACCGACGGCTACTCGAGCGCGTTTCACAAAAGACGCAAAGTACGCGATTCGAAGTCATTTCTTCGTCGCAACGTGCATTTCTTCGACGCGCGTATCGAATGCGCGCTGGTTGAAATTTCATCAAACAAGCTGTTTCCACCGAGGCGAAAGTAATCACAAGAAGCACAATTTTTGCTCCTCCGTTCCACCAAGGATCTCGCGGAAATAATCTCTTCAAATTTAAACTTTCACCGAGACTGTCGCAAGCTGCTACAAGTACGAAACAAAACTGAATCGATCGATACGGAGGCACGCGAGACTCCCTTGAGAGAGAGAGAGAGAGAGAGAGAGAGAGAGAGAGAGACCCCATTGACAGAAACAAAAGAAAAAAGAAAATAACATATCTCACGATATACACCGGCATACTTGAAATACTCCTCCGAGGAAAGGACGCGAGCGTAAAGTCGTCGAAGCGGTTCCGCTCGGTTGTCGTCGAAACAGTGCGTGACGTTGCCATCCTCGAAA